AAACTTGAGCGCGTTAACGCGACTTCTTTTTATATTACATAAAATACAATATCTAGTTACAATTGTATTATTTAATAATCGTTTAATAATCGTTTTTTATTTGATCATAATATGCAAGAGAATTAAAAAGGAATGATATGATTGTACAAGGAAGTGCTTGAAAATATATATAATAGCTGCATGTAAACGATAATTTTTATTCAGAATATTGAAAAAAAAATCATATGGCGAATATCATTGAATACAAAAATTGGATAAAACAACTCTAACCCTAACCCTAAACTAACCTTAATTTAAACTATAACCCTCACCTTAAGAGGTGAGTTCTATCTCGCTCGGTATTTCTTGTTGAATGCACGAGAGGTGTAAGTCACGCTGGAGTTGAGTGAGCCCACATAGCGTAATCGCCTCTGTAGACCTCTTCGTACTTGTTCTCGGCTAGTGTTGAGGGAGCGGGTGAGCATGATGAAGACACGCGATGCTGATTTTTTTTTTTTTTTTTATCATGTAGGAGAAATCCGTGGGAGAGATCCGTAACGAGTTCAAGGAGATAATGGCAGGATGGTTTAGGCCGATGGTTATGATTTGAAGACGGACCTGTTGATGAGAAAAGATACTTGTTCGTGTCCAAGAACTCGATCGATGTGATTATCATGTGCCTATTTCATACCAAGACTGATTTAATCGAATACGAAGAAAACGCTGCGGATTTAATTGAATTCGAAGAAAAAAACGCTACAAAGTGCCGATTAGTAATACCCGATATTGTTAAATTTTATAAGCTGTGTAAGAAAATGAAAGCCGAAGGTGTTATAGTGACGAATGTATTTTATAGAAGCTCTGCTAAGACGAGGGCCAAAGAACTTAACATATTATTGACAAAACCAGAACATGCAAAAGGAAAAATAGATGATTTTTTCGAAGATTTAAAATTTTTAACAATCAGCGAATCATCGGCGGAAGAAATCAGTAACTCCCGGCACTGTATAAAACATTTATCTAAATAAAAATTTGTGCACACAAATTCTTGACATGTATAATTATAACCAAGTTCGATGTCCTATGTAAATAATTTTCTTAATCCGTTAAATTAACAAAAACTGAAGCCAACAAAGACTGACGGATTTCGAATCTCATCTCTAATACTTATGCACATAGTAAAAATTAAGAGTATATTGTTTAGACTTTAAAAAAAAATTATTCATAAAATTCCTAAGTTTTTCTTAATTGAAAATTTATTCTTTGAAATAATAAAATTTATGAGATCATTATGAATTTTTTTTAGTCATTTTTTAACTTGCGCTTAACAAGTATACCTGGTCCACAATTTGCTCAAACAAGTGTACTTGCTGCGTTTAATAAAAAAGATTATTTATTAATGTTACATGAAAAAAGTTTATACGTAATAAAACTAGCCAGTATTTCTTTTTCCAGTACCCACGTTTTATATTTGTATAATATGATACAATTCAGCAATTCAGTGAATTAGTAAAAAGAACTAATAAATTTATTATAACTGTCGCATTGAAATTATCTATCATAATTAACTATAAAAAAATGCTACGTATCCGTTGTAAAATATTTTTCAAACCAAGTTAAAAATCATGTACAATAATTCAAATCCAACAGCTACATCTCAATATCTATCTGTTATACACAAAAAGCACAGCGTGTAAGTTAACATTATAAGAATATTTTTCAAAACAAGTTAAAAATCACGTACAATAATTCAAATCTAATTACTACACCTCAATATCTGTATCTGTTACACGCACAAAAAAAAAAAAAAACCTACATAACAGCCTGTAAGTCAACATTATAAGAATATTTTCAAAAAATCACGATAATTCTAAAGGAAAAATCAATCTCTAATTTGTTATCTGTCAATTCACGATAGACGGTATTTATATTAATTTTAAAGCGTGATTCTTGATACTATTGTTATTAAAAGTGTTTTTAATAATGTAACCGAGTTTCGTAATTGGACCAGCGGAAATCCAGATATCGATAATTTTATTAACAAACGCAACTTAATGCAAAAAAATTTCGTGACACCATTGAATGGATTCCTTTTAATCAATTTACAAATATAAAGTATCTTGCTAAAGGTGGCTTTGCAATATGGACTGACGGATGCATTACAGCATTTGATAAGCAGAAAAGGAAAGCCACTAGTAGGAGTTTGTTTAAAAAGCCTAGAAAATTCAAAAAATTTAAAACAAGAATTTTTGAAAAAAATAAGCATTTAATCATAAAGTATAATTGTTATTTATCCTAATAAATATTTTAGGTTGAAAATCAACATAAACATGGCGGCAATTCGGTAATTGCGATTTATGGAATAACTAAGAATCCAAATTATATGATGGCTATGCAGTATGCAAAGCAAGGAAGTCTCCGAAAATTATTAGATAGTAAATATAATGAATTAAATTGGAAATCTAAAATTGCTAACTTATATTTTATAGCTAGTGAGCTTAATGCAATCCATAAAGCCAATTTAGTGCATAAAGATTTTCATTCCGGAAATATAGTTAATCAAGATATGTTCAATTCT